AAAAAAAGAGAGAGAGAGAAAGAGAGAGAGAAATATTAAGTTCCGATATATATAAACCAGTCTCTCGTCCCGAAGTGATTTTTCGATATAAATCCTAACCGCACGGAAAATCGACGATATTTTTCTATGAAATTTACGAGCTAAACGTCCGACGTTTAATCATCCTATTATTTAACGAACGCAACACACACGCGCAATCAACTTGAACGCCGTGTGTGTCCGAAAAATTAATTACAATTTTAATCCACGTTTGTTTCCCGTTGGATTATAACGCGCGTTCGCACGAAAATGAAAGATTTTCAGAGAGAGTGAGAGAGAGAGAGAGAGTGAGAGAAAGCGAGAGAGCGGGGCCTTACATAGGGAAAATGAAAAGGTTTTTCAATTAACGACAGATATTTTTTTATGGAAACTCATTCTTTGCCGTTGTAGGATGTGCTCTTGACAGTGAAGATAAATTGTGCCTGGTTCAATATAGATTGCCATTTAGCCGCGTTAACTTCGCCGCGATAATCGAACAAGATGCTCACACTGACAAAATATATATCGCGGGATCGAAGAAAAATCGCGTACAAACGAGTAATTATCGCGGAAGACGCAGTCTTATTTTTCTATGGAAACATTGTGCGAGAGAGAAAGAAAGTATAATAAGGAACGCGGGGATTCGATTTCCGCCGCCGCTCGCGCGGAATTTTCGCGTCGAGTTGAAAATAAATCGTCGATGTTATAATTTTTGGAATTATAATCCGTGATTGTACTGTGGCTTATAACAAAGTAATAAAGTAAATAACGAGTGTTAATAGTTCGCTGTTACACAACGAAATTCTAAAGTGCGACAAAGGAGAGAGAGAGAGTTCTATCTCGTTTTCTAATAATGTGCCGAAAGAAACAGGATCGCGAGAGGGAGTTCTCGAAGCAAATTTATAGACGACGATCGAAAAAAACCTCGATAGAGCTTAACAGATTTCGTAATGTCTCTTGGATCGTGTTTCGTCTTGATCGAGAAAGCGAAGAAGTTCTAGTTCTGAAACAACGCTTATTGAGAAACAGAACGAGACACGCGCACACACACACACACACACACATGCATACATAGTTCACGCGAATTTCAAAGGCTCGAAAATGCAAATTGGCAACGCGACAATGATTGCGCCTCGTCGTATCAGTTCGAAATACGATCTTACAGAAACGCTCTCGTTGGGTAACATGCGAGATCCATGCGACGGACCATTCAACAAACGAATAATGTATCACACTTTTTTTTTTCAGCAACCGAAGAAGCAACCGAGTGTTCTCTGACTTAAGATTTTTTATTTTTTTTTTAATTTTGTTTTTTTTTTTTTTTTTTGTTTGCGCTCAAGTACGTTAATAGTCGAGTGTGATTGTTAGTATTCGCGCGTAGAAAAGAAAGGGAATATCCGAAGAGAGAGAGAGAGAGAGAGAGTCGTACACACGAACGGAAATGTCTGTGTGTGCACATGTGCGATGTGTGTTTTATGTACATATGTGTGTAGATATTATTCGCCACAGAGAAAGAACCGACTCTATATACACACGCGCTAAATCGAAGCGATATGCGAGACTGACTGTTCGCTTTGCAAAGCAGCTACAAAAGTGTGAATGGGATTCTCATTCACGGCTGTTTCTTTTTGTGTTTTTTTTTTTTTGTTGTTGTTTCTTTTCACATTCCGTGTAATGCGGTACAAATGTTCGTGCAAAAAGTTAGGTTTACGTTTAATTGGATGCGTACACGTATACGAACGCACCCACACACACACACACACAAACACACGTACGTGCGCGCGCGGAGTTTAAAAGCTGCCGGCGCGCACGTTGTCGGTTGCGTCCATTAACCGAGCTAATTAAACGGACCTTTGCAAGGTAAGCTCAGCGCGCGGCGTGGAGGCGGGGACCATTTTTGCTCTTCGATTCTATTTTAACCCTCTTTTTTATAAGCCTATATTTTTTAAGCCTCTTTTGAAACCCTTCTTCCAAACTTATTGGCTCTTTAGCTCTTACTACACTCCCTTTTCCTAGATTGTTCGCTCAGATTATTTCCGATCGATACACACCAGAAGAACCCTCCTCCCCCGTCCGCTCTCTCAATCCGTACATTCTCTTTGTGAGTATATATCCATTAACTCACAGTTTTTCACGCTCTTTTCTGTGAATTGCCGGGCTTTCGATTTCCTGTGAATGATCCTCGTTACATGCTCGATTTGTTAACGGAAATTATTTAGTTGATTACTATTTTTTTTTTTTTTTTTTTATAGACATGTTGCGTATCGAGAGAAATCGTTTTCAGACGAGCTTTAACGAGAGACACTCCGTTGTTACAACATACACCCATCACCTCCACGCCGCTTCTTTTTCCTGTATTTTCTACTATTTAATTAGAAACGTTGTTTCTTTTAACGCATGCTTACATACTATACGTCCATAAATTTGAATCTACAAAACATACTGATACGCTGTATACAGACACACACACACACAGTGAGGCTTCAAGTGGAAGCTGATCGCGGGACAGTGTTCGATATGCGAAACGAGAAACTTAAGGGAGCACACACAGAATCTTAATTAAATCTGCGATGTTATAATCGTTATTACGAGAATTGCTAGCGTGTTCACGCGCGTTATTATGTAGCGTAATACGTTATTTGTTCCGCATATATCGTGTGCACACACACACACACCTCTACATACATACACACACACACACACACACACACACGAGATCCATCTAGCAGATTAATTATTATTCCGCGGCGAATCTGCCGTTTACCGCTAAACTAACGTGAAAACTTAATACGTCCTTGTGCGAAAACTTAGTCCGTAAAGTAGAGAGAACGTTTTTTTTTTTTTTTTGAAAAAGAAGAGAAAAACAGGAAGAGTAAACTGTGAATTAAAAAAAAAACAAAAAAACAAAAACAAAAAAAAACAAACTGTGAACCGTCTGTTAAGTATATATATATTTGTATCTATTCTTTATACAATATGAAAAACGTCCAGGTTAAAAACCGAGATACATTCCGTATGAAGCTAACACGCGAATTTATGTGCGCGGAGATAGTACGATGTGAAATTAACGCACGCGATAGTAAGATTACAAGGAATGTGATCGATCTTGCCAACGATAACTGTACAACTGTGAATCTGATTCTCGAAATAACTTAAATAAAAAAGAACTAACGAACGCAGCCACACAACGCTGACAGGTCGTCGGCATATTGTATATTTGACAATGTAAACAATTTACGTGTTTGTTACACACACACACACACACACGTGAGTTATTTGTTACATTGCAAATTACAGGCGCGCGCCAACGTTGTCTTGTTGTTCCGTTAGCGGTTCGTTATTTAAGTTATTTTAATTTTATACTGTATAGAGCCTAAGCCCTTCTCTTAATTTTTTGTCTAATTGTTACAAACGATCTATACATATATATATATATATAATCGGAATATATAAAAAGAATATATAAAAAAATTCTCTACTTCTTGATAACACACACAATTATACTCAAGGATCGCACAAAGCAGATAAGTATACTACTTTGAGGTTTAATTGAAGTATTAAAAAAAAGGATTATAAAGGAAAAAATATATATATATACATATATATACATATATATATATATATTATACATATATATATATATATCCAACTATTTTCATACAAGACCGATTTAACAATTTTTAATATACATATGCTTTAACACCTTAAGTCACAAGCCATAGTTTCGACAATAACTGATGGTCGCGCGCCCAAGAACTGCGCGAAAGGGAGACGAAAAAAAAAAAAAAAGAGGATTCACAATTTTTGTGCGAATGACAAAGTACAACAAATGATGACGCAAATTTCCACAATTGCCACACAGGTTATCAAACACTGTTGAATTTTGACTCTTTAAGTCGTTTAAGATCTACCTATGTGTTCACACAAAAATTATACTCGCTTGTGATGAAACTAACAGTTCGAGGCAGGGAAGAACTGACGAGGAGGAGAAAAGAAGAAGTTGCATTCCGTCAACGTGAAAGTAAAAATATAAACGTATACTTTTTCCTAATCTCACACTTAAGTGCCAATCTTGCGGAGTCTTGTTTTTTTTTGTTTTTTGTTCGACGTGTGCGAGAGCTTTTCTAAAATACTTAGCAACAATTGAGTGATGACTACGGTTTCGTTGGAAAAACAAAAAAAAAAAAAAACAAAAAACAAAAATTGTAGCGTAAGATGCACGATTATTTGTAGACACGTAGTCGTGTATAGCCGATAGAAAGGTTGAAACAAAAAAGAGTAATGTAGGTATATTTTTGTTTGTACACATGTACACACACACACACATGTATGTGTGACAAACAAATATATAAATATGTACACACATAGATAGATAATGTATATATATTCGGTAAATTTGCATATTGCATTTTCCGCAGATCGATCGATTAATTGTAGCATATGTGCCACTTTCCGTTGACCAATCAACGACGCTGCAAACATTGATTCGATGTATATTGAATGTATTTATGTATATCATGTAAAAGCTGTTGATGATGAACAAATTAAAGAGTATCGCGTAAGTAAACCGTGTGTACCCCGTGTCTTATTGTTTTTATTATTATTTTTCACAAATTTTTTCCAAGCGGTATCTTGTGCGCGCGCGCGGTATCTCTCTCGCGTTATTCTCACAACAATTCACAGAAGCGTTTTGTTGTTATTCGACAATTGTTTTATTATTATATATTATTGTGTGTCAATTGAGAATACGATTGAATGCAAAAGTGTTGAAGTGAATATATAATCATCAATCTGAATAAAAAACATTTGCATCGATTAAATTAGATGAAACAATTGATGCGACAAAAGACCGCCTCGGGCTTGGTTGATCGGCTCAATTAACAAAGCTAATTAGGCGTTGCGCCGTACGAAACCGAATTGCTCGTTTGTCCGGCACGATACATAAAATAAACTGGCAACAACGAGAGACGCGAAACGCGATAAATGACAAAGAAATTGCAAATAAGTGGGACGGATCTGTTGGCACAAGAAGATCTCGAAATTCTCGTCGGATTTATTTACATGCCAAACGTATGAGTCAGGTGTTTCTCTGGATCTCAGCTCAATTTGTGTGAGGCAGATTGGCGCACGGTAAAAAAAAAAAAAAAGAAGCCAATTAACGTTGCGCGCACAAGAAACCAAGATTTTTTTTTCTCTCATCATTTAGTTGTCGTATATAAATTTTGACAAAAAAATTTATTCTCGAAATATTAATTGCTTGTTTGCAAAATTTTAAAATGAACCGAGTGATACGAAATATTTCTCGCGCGAACGCGATCTGAGAAGAACAAAACAACTTTTCACGAGACATTGTCGTCGTAAATGCGAGCCAAGTTTCAGGGGATTTGATCGTCTTTTTTCGCGTCTCGCATCCGCGCTACTGTAAATTGACCTCGTACATCACAGAACTGCAAGAATCGACAGGGCTTTGGCAGCGTCCCGACGGACGCCTAGGTCTTCGGGAACGTCGCGATGCTCCGCGAAGTTATTTCAAAGATAGTGGGGCGTCGCTCTATTTCGGTCGCGCTAGCCAGGGTCGTTCAGTCTGCGGCCCGGCTTCCTTACCAGGAGGCCGCGGATACGTAATTCACACTTTAATTCGCCCTCTTTCGTACGTCGAGAATTAATCGTCGAAAAATAATCGAGAGATAAGACCGCGTCGAACGGAGCCTCATCCTCGTGTGGAAACGCTCGCGCGAATTCCAGAAGGCACTTCCGGTCGAAGAGGATAAAGAGAGAGAGAGAGATAGAGAGAGAAAAGGAAAGACAGAAAAAGAAAGAGAGAAGAGTTGTGTGAACGGAAGTGCCAGCTGGCCATGATTGCTTCCGAAATAACTCCGTACTCTTGATGGGAGAGAACAGTGCGTTGTATCGATACCCACAGGAGTGACAAACTTGAGGGATCCCAAGATCACTTGGATGACACGAACGTGACTCGATATTATTGAGTCTACGACAGTAATTGGGAAAAACTTTTCTCTCGTCGATAATCGCATCGAGCAATGGAATTTCCTCAACATCCGTAAGTTTCTTTTTCAAAAACAAGATATTCCACGAATGTTACACGACGAAATAAGAGAAATTTCAGAAAAACGAATGTAAAACTTTGGAGGAGAAAACCTTGAGGATTTGTAGACAATGTAGAGTAGAGGTAAGCCGATGCGCACAAACGAAAGTATTTTTCGCAGGTATTTAAAAATCCGAAGCTAAAAGCAGACGATTTAAGAAGGTTTTGAGAGAGAGTTGTCGCGACCAAGTGAAATCCGCTGCGAAAACAGACATGCTTTGGACCGAGCCCGACGAAGAGGAGGAGGCGCTGCTATGCAGCCCCGCTCTGATGGCCAGACGCGCCTCGGAATCCTGGATTATCACTCCTCCGGTGGAGGTAAACGAGAAGGCGAACTCTCGCACACATTCCGTCCTTCTAACAACAGCACACACGAGCTAAACAACGCGTAAAAGTTCATGCAGAATGGATTATAGCGCGTATAATGAGGATATTGTTTTTTTTTTTTTTTTTTTACGGAAGAAAGTACGACAGAGGGCAAAGGATGGAGAAAGAACGGGGAGAAAACATTAGGGGTCGCGCGACGGGAATCAGCTGGTCTCTTAGCTTAGATAATAACACACGCTTGATCAAGTGTAGAACAACGAGGGTTTACAAGTGAAATGTGTAACAGCCGGAAAGGGTCAGGCAAATACAATAGGTTACACACAAATATGGAACCACGCGGAACCACGTATATATGCGGTTTAAAACTCTGCCCTTGTTTAAAGAAGATCGCAACGTTTAAGAAAGTATTCATCGTATACGCGTCTAAATCCGGAAAAGATTATTGTTGTTGCGCGCTTTAATATACACACGTATTACAAGATCTATCTTGTATACGTTGCGCGACGAAGTGATCCAATGTTGCAATTATGCAACTTTTGGCGAAGTATCTCTCTAACGTATTTAGAATGTTTTCGCGCGGATAATTGCGGAAACGAGAAGAATTTTTGCCCGTGATATGATCCAGATAATATATGTATAAAAATGACAAAAAATATAAATAACAATTAAAATTTCTTCACAGTCGGAACAAGTAAAGTGATTTCTTGTATCGCTGCGGATATTTTCTTTTTTCTTTTTTTTTTTTTTTATCGCCACAAAAAGTCTCATATGATCTTGTCGCGCTACAAGAACGCGTTGAGAGAGCAGAAATATTTCGGCCAGAAGTTTTAGCAATTTGACTCTTGCATCACACCAGATGTATCACCGCGCGGTGAGGGGAAAACCTCAGGCGCTCTTGAGGTTTTATAGAACGACTCCTCCCCCCTCCTATCTCCGGTTGCTTTTTTCCTTTTTATTCCGTTTCTCTCTCTGCAACCTGTTTCGTTCGCACAAATTAAACAACGGAATTAACGGAACAAGTAATCTCGAGAATTTAGTGGCTCGCCAAAACACGACTATGCAATATATATCCTGGACCGGTTTCGAGCGAAAACGTAGAGAACGGTCCAGGAACTAACTTTGAGAGCTAAAAATTTTAACGCCGCAAATCAATTCAATCCTTTAATCAATTGCGATTGTGTTGGGTTTATGCCGCGTCGAACTGTCTCGTTTCCTCTCCGCGCGAACAAGAACAAAGAGAAATGTTCTATTGTAAAACAGTCGGTAGCGGAAAATTCAATACACACACAGCCTCGCGAAACGATTCAGAAACAGAGCTATCTAACTTTTGACGTGAGCAAGCGAGCAGAAATTCGAACAAGAGAGGTGCTCGCAATAAACGTCGTTTACCTACGTCTATATAACTGGCGCGACATGACACGAAACAAAAGTCTGGAAAAAAAAAAAAACAACAAAAAACAAAAACAAAAATATAGAAAACGCGTTGGGTTATAGTCAGTTTTGACGAAAAGTGACACGCGAATTTATATCCAGCGCTTTGGAAAGAAAAAAAACAAAAAAAAATCAAATTACTTTTCGTTCCGTTGTAAAGTTTGTTCATCTTAATTCGAATGTATTAATTAAATCGCACGTGCTCGCGAAACCGAATTCTCAAAAACAAATTCGATCAAATTCATCTCGCTCAGCTGATTGCTTACCTAACAAGAGTACGCGCAGAGTAATATTATATATTAATTATTCCAAGTAATTACATTTTTTTTTTTTTATAACTACACGCATATAGTAATAATTTGTAATAATCGTTACAAAGTAATTTGTGTAAATACTACTGCTTATGATTATGCTTCCTTATCTTCCCTTGTACATCCCGTGTGACAACATTTTAATAACCATTACTCTCGTGCACGTAAATAAACGACGTTACTCACACACACGCTCTAGTGTACATAGTGCCGATAAGTATATTCGTTATTTGTTGCTCCCGGAGCCCATCTCTCTTTTTGTTTCTCGTTTATTTCCTTCGTACAGGCGATGCCGGCGGCGGCGATGCCTTTTCAACGAAAGAAGTCGCTGCCGGATGTGGCGCAGCCGATCCAGCTTGCGGCCACGGCGCCATTGTCCAGAGAAGAAGTCAGTATCCTGAGCAGCATGAGGAGGGAAGAGGTTCGCAGACAGATCGACGAAAGCGAGAGGCTCAGGGCCAATCCGCTCTTGTACCTAGTCAGTCCGCAGGTTAAGGTGGGTAAAAGAAAAAATAAAAAACATTTATCTGTCCGTCGAAACCGCACGCATGTTGACCGTGACGCCTTTGTCAGTCACTCTAAAGATATTTGGAGTTGAGTTTTATTTCGGACCGCACGAGTCCTGTGTGTGCGTTTCGGACGCTGAACAAAATACTACGAAATGTTTCGCACGAAGGAAAACTTCACACGATTAGGTTGCAAAAGATATTTCCTTCTGACCGCTCGACTTGGGTCAACCAATTATGAAAACTGCTTTGTGCCTAAATTCTTTTTCGCGGAAGGACACTTTTCACAAGAATAAGATTTTGTCCCTTGGAAGGAAAAAAATCTTCCTTTGTAAACAAGGCTCGAGTACTTTGAAGAAGTAAATCAGTTTTACAACCTGGTGTAATAAAATACGCGAAGTTTGGTTTCCATTTATTTAAAAAAACATTCCATTTATTTAAAAAAAAAAAAAAAAAACCCGAATGAAACAATTTCGGGCATCAAATAATCAGAAGATAGCGCTTTGTAGAGTATTTAACTTTATTAGTTTTCTCTTATAGTATCCAACGCGACGAGAGAAGCGACGACGACGCTTGTGATACAACGGTTCTCGCCGTTACTTTGTTTCAGGACTGGTTCTCGCGGCAGCAGCTCGTGATGCTGGTGCTCTTTATCAACATATCCCTAGCCTTGATGTTCTTCAAACTGCTGACGTAGCAGCCAGCCGACGATCGGATTCACGGACTCGCGGTGGACGTGACCTGAGACCCGGCGGCGTCGCGACGCCTTGTGGGTAGTCACCGAGCCAGAATTTCGACAGCGAACCGCGGAGGGTGTGGCCGCACCAGGAATCGCCAAGGGAGCGACTTTCACGAGAGCGATTCGTCCGGCCTTTACGCGTCGCGAGCGCTTCGCGAGGGAGAATATTTCGGATCGACTTGGAAAGGGAAAACTGAAGGGGAAAAAATTTGGTCGCGTGAAAGCGATTGCAGTCTCGAGTTTCGAATAACGATCGTTGAGGATCTAGGGAAAGACTTAGGGAAGGGGAGCGACACGAGACACGAGGAAAAACGTCCTTTTGAGATATAACACGGTGTTAAGAAATCTACCGCCACACAAGATTTTTGTCATTGAATATTGTAAATTAGAAAGGATTTAAGCGTCAGAAAAAATGAAAAGCAAACGCACACTTACGAGAGAGAGAGAGAGAGATGCACCTTTCGATAACTCGCCTATGATTTAAACAATTTTCTCTTTGCGCTTTGAAAGTTTGACGCTCAGATCCTTTTTAATGGACGCACGTCAGAAATGTATTTATTGAACAAACACATTTTTGGAGAAAAAAAAACAACTCTCTCCCAAAGCACAGTTTCTTCGTGCGAAAAAAGGAGAGAAAAAGATAGAGATAGAGAGAGAGAGAGAGAGAGAGAGAGAGAGAGAGAGAGAAAAGAGAGAGAGGAGAGACATCAGCATACTTTTTGGAAAATGAGAACGCGCGTTGCGCGACTCTCCAAGCCTGTGTATATCATACCTATTTTTACACAAAATACATATATTATAAATAATGCTACTTGTAAGAGTAAGTCGAGCCCTTCTCACACAGACGGGGCGCGGATTGATCGTATCCGAGATTGCGGTACGGCGCAAATATACGGATCTTTCCTCTTTAGTCACAATTCGTTTCATTCGCGGCGATCGGCTCGAGCGCAGCAAAATAGCGGTAGTCAATCGTCAATCGATCGACTTTTTGGACATGTTACTTGTTGGCACTTGAAGAGCGCTCATTCTCTCTACGATTTCAAAAAAAAAAAAAAAAAAAAAAAAAAAAATTTCAGAGGCCGTTTTCGATTCGACGCGGGGCATTCGAGGGAAACCGAGAACGATTCGCGTTCGCGATTATTCTCCGCAACGTTACGATTGCAAATTAAATTCAACAACGCGTCGTAATTGCCAGCCGCGATGCCGACACGTGCGCGCGCGACGTAGATTTGTATAAACGCGCACGCAAAGCACTTATTAAAACGTGTTTCGCGCACGACCACGACGATCGTAAAATGTGTACACGGTAAGAAGAGCAAAACGCTACGTAAACGCATCTTTCCCCTTTTTTTTTTTTTGTTTTTTTTTTTTTCGAGCTCCGCGGAATTTACAGTTACAACTACCGTTTTGACGACGATGCGACGACGACGGCTTGAGAGATATAAATAGTCAGTATCGTCTTCCGTTTTGCGACAAGCCGATGATAAATAATGTATTATCGATTCGATATTAATTTTTACTTCGACGTAGTGACGCATCTATGAAAACTTGAAGTATTTACCTTGCAAAGGCAATCGCGATTTACAGCTTTTGGACAAATTCCCGTAAGGTTCAAATTTATATTTCGTTTATCTCGTTGTAAAGTTAACGAGCGCGCTTTTTTGAGATGCACATAAAAAGTTTTCACGCCAAATATCGATCTCGATTTGGATGAGAAATCGAACAAAATTCACGTGTCATTCTCGACTATACTTGGTGTGTATGTCTATGTATGTGTGTTTGTGTGCGTGTGTGACATTGTTGTTTTATATATCTGATACGCATTACATTACGATTCTGCGCCTAAATAAAAAACAATATCACCTATTGTGATAAAATTGTACGTGGATGACTCATGTTATATGTGATAAAATCGAATCGCGCGTGCGAGCGTGCGATATGTCATCATTTTTATCGAGACGCGCGTAATTTCCGCATGTATAAACAAGCGCGAATGTATAGAAATATCTCTTTCGAGCATCAAGAAGCGGAATCACGACTTCAAAACTTGTCAACTTGAGAATCGCACGGGGGAAGGACGAATTTATATCCGTGATTACATAGAGCGCGCGCGTTCAAAACGCACAGACGCTCTTTGATATTCCGCACTGCTCTAGCTTGCATAATAACGCCTTCAACCGATAATTTGTGAGGGAAAACGCGGAACGCACACACAATTCGCGAGAATCTCCCCGATATCTTTCTTCCCCGCGCTGTCTCTGCGCTCGAGCAATCGCATTTTTTTCTTAAAAGCCTGTGACGGCTTGTGTATATCTCTAGACAAATTTGTAAATAATTATTATGTAAACGTCAATTGCGCAAAACGTTTTTGTCCGCGCACTACGCGTTAATTCGTTCTCGCGCTCTCTCGAGATGCAAGTTTTTGGCCGGAAAAAGAAGCGAGAGGCATTATATACGTATATTAGTTTTTAGATATTTGTCGATTATATATCGAAGTTAACGGATCTCGCTCTTTTTTTGATTTTTTTTTTTTTTTTTTTTTTTGAGCAGAAAACACACGAAGAAAAAGCTTCCTAACTCGTCCTTCGACTGTGCCAACGACGTGTACTTCGGCGGTGTACTTCCGCGAGAGAGAGTAAAAATTTCTTCGTTCTGGCGAGATGTATTCAGTTCCCGGAGAGATGCGAAAACTCTGTAGATCTCGAGCGCGCGAGCAACGTATACGCGACGCGAAGTGACTCTCGGAGAGATAAGATAAAGAACACACACTCTCGATCGAGACGGCGGGACGTTATTTTCAGGACGCTATTCGTGTATATTGTGCGGCTGTAAAAAGCACAAAAGCTTGGAGAAAGAGACTATTCTCGTCCGCCGCGTCGGAACGGACCATTTCCTTCAGGCGGATTTGTGTGGATGAGAAGTTCCGTTTACATATAGAATCGCTCGTAGATTCTCTCGTAATGTCGGATTTACGTTTGGCATTTACCTTCGCGCTTTTTTGTATCCGCCGATACAATGCGCGGTTGTAATTTCAACCACGAACCGAACGCGCGCCACACCTCTCTAAGTTACTTGCTAACGATTTTTACGCCAGTGCAGTCGTAAACAAAAAACGTGTATTTGCACCTTACACATCTTCGCTCTTGTACAATTACCGCGAGTGAAGCACACCAGCGAGTTTTTATTTTACGATCCAAGAACCGGCAACAAAATGTACGTTCGTAGTTTTTTCAATTTTACTTCCGACTTATACGTAACAAAGCAATTTTTCTCTTAAAAAATAAACCAAGTCACACGTAAATCCGGCTCAATCGAACAATGAAACGTCCTTATATTTTAAGGAGAACAGGGTCGTGTCGGTAAGGAAGAAGGGCGCGTTATTCTCGAGGTTTTTTGGAGAAGAGAAAAAAAAAAGAAGAAAACAAAAGCGGCGGCTTTTTGTGCACGATGTGCATTCGCGCGTAAATATTAATAATAATAATAATTATGTCTATTATCGTGCGCACACACACATTCGTCGTTGCGGGGTCATGTACTGTACATATATATATGTATATATATATATATATATTGCAACTATATATATATATGAAATTGATTAGTTAAAGAGTATATACCGAGAAGGAGAGGCTACACAAGAAAAAAAAAACTTTGATATTGTAATATCGTCGGAAAATTACCCGCGGGGAGAAGAAAACGAACTTGGGGGAGACGAGCGAGCACGAAAGAGGGACGAGAAAATCGTTTATCTCACCGCGCGCGCGCACGCGCTCAAAGCCGTATCACCAATCAAAGAGGATTTACGATTCATAGTTTCATGAAAGAAAAAATCGTTTCGCGCTATTTTACGACGCTATATTTATAATAATGTATATATACATGTACGCATAAGACCGTATGTATATTTTACCTGTTCTCTCTCGACTGTTGTCACAGTTAGCGCGCGTATCCCGTTATTATTGTATATTATTATTATTATTACTATTATTATTAATTATATATATATTTGGATTACTATTATTATTATTATTATTATTACTTATTATTACTTATTATTATTGTATCGCCATATCATTATCATACTGAAAACTGTGTAAAATCGAAAAAAAAAAAAAAAAACGTGTAGGAAACGCGGGAGAAATTTTGCTATCTTGGAAGAAAAACAAAAACTATGCGACATATTAGAAAAACTCTTGGGAGCCCAATTGTCATTGTTAATTTGCGCAAGCAGTGATTCAATAAACTTGTATCATAACTGATTGATGGTTCTGTTATTGGTATCACACACGAATGTGTATCACACAACTTCGTTACGCCACTCGCGATTATCTGGATGCCACCCGTGTGGTTTAAATTAGAAGAAACAGGACTCTCTGTTTCTCTCGAACGATCGTTGATTGCAGTGGCGTAACGATTTATCAAGAAATATAAGAACATGCGCGCGCGTGTGGTAAGATAGCATTATTTTTACACACACGCACACACACACACATACACACATTCGTGAACGTACATACGTCGCGGGATACGGTTTTCGTGTCTCTATACGCGATACGAAAATTACTACGCAAAATCGAGCGGTGTGTTTTACGCAGTAACCGAAGCGTGCTAATCGTTAAAGTAAATATTTTATTTTACACGCGTGATTGTTTATTTACGACAAGCGGAAAGCTTTGTTTCTTGCGCAGTTCGCCGCGATCAATTCCGACACGTTAGCGGACTTTTGCGATTAGTCAGATGTATTTTGGAATATTAATCAGAACTTTATTGTCGTCATTATGCGAACAAGTGCGTCAAAAAAAGACGAAGGGAAAAACCAACACTTTAAACACAATAGAAATAAACATTCTTATCTAAATACAAAAGAAAATTCTCACGAAATCGCAGTTTCTTGTGCTATAAGGAAAATGTGAGAAATCACAAAAAAGTAGCCTTGAAAGCGGCGAATGTCGTTTTCAAGCTGATCAGAGCCGCGAGTTCGCGCGAACGCGCGACAAAATCGAAGACAAATCGATCCGATAAAACGCGGCAGCGCATCTCTGCGCTGCACACGAGCGCGTACACGTGCCGTCGCTTTTTGCGCTTCGATTCTGTTGCGTCACGTGTAGAACAAGACCGCGGGTCGGAGGGGAAGAAGGGGGGAGGGAGGAGGGACTGCTGCGTCTCTCTAATGCACGCCGTCTATTACCGGTGTCAACGTCATTCGGGCAGAGCGAATGTCAAGCGAAATATGGCGGACGTTAATATGCCGCCGTGCGCGAGTGAAAAATGGTATCCGACGAGGGATATATATCAACGTCGGTTGCATACGGTTGTGTATTGTCGTGCGAATTTTCAGCGAGAAAACTCGCGGGAAATTATACACACATGAATGTATGTATATACGACAACGTGTATCGAGAAATATCGAGTAAAAATTGTCGAGAAATCGATAACTCGTTATGGAGATTCGATGTTTCCGCGTATTTTTAACGCTGTATTTATCTGCGAAATACTCGACAGCTGACTCAAAAAAAAGTGAGTCACAGATGATCGCTAATCGAAGCTGAAAACTCGCGATAATGAGACTGACAAAGATAGGGAAGCGCGGCCTCGAACGCGGTATCTACTCGCTTTCAAAAGAAGTCGGTCGTTTTGTAAAACGTATGTATATGTATATCGGCAGACACGTTGTAATAAACGCCGAAATGCAAAACAACAACAAACGCGCGCCGACTTTTTTTTTTTTTTATTTTTATTCGAAACAAGCGACGCGGAACAGGTGATCGGAGAGAGAGTGCGACAAGACGGCGGCTGTGGTGAAAACCGGCTTCTCGTTCGGTTCGCCGTTAAATTCGGAACGTCGCTTTAGTTAAAACGCCTACGCGCAACGAAAACAAGCAATTTCTATGTTTAGACGATCTTCGCTTTCCGACATTCGTGTGCGCAAGCACACGCTCTATTTTAAACAACGTCTCGATAAAACGAAGTTTCATCTAAAGAATATCGATATATATATATATATAGGGATATTGCGACTGACTTCGCATTAAAAAAAAAAAAATAGAAGAGAAGATTTTAAACAGATATGACAAACACGACCGGCAGGTGAATTTTTTTATTTACCGCGCGAATTACTTATCGCGCGTATTACTCTCGCTCTTGGCTCGAAGAGATCCGCTCGCAACAAAATGCGCAGATGGATTTTTGAGACCACGCGACTCGCCCAAGATATAAATCTTTGTACTGGTTCGCGCCGCTTCTCAAATATTTGGCGCGTTGTTAACATGCGCACATCGCACGGCGAGGTCGCCTAGGAAGAGAACGCAATACCGGGGATCTTATCGAATTTATAATCGCGATTCGGAGAATTCGTCGCCGAAAGTGGAGCTGAGCGCAATGTCCTCTTCTTCCCTCTCTCGAAGACGCGCGCTATATATGATACGCGACACGCAACTTCTCTTATCTCTTATCTCCCCCGATTTTTTCCGCCATGCTTTATCTCCGTCGATGAGTTCGCACACCATCGGAACGGCTAAAAGACGCGGCTCCGATAACTGCGAGAGATCCGTTCGTAATGTTAAAGACGCATTGGCGTAACGAACGACAGAATTTAAAAGAGAAAGACTTTCGTTAGAAAAGAAAAACGTATTTTTATTTCGCAATCTTGCGCAAGACAATTCGGCGTGTGAAAAGCGTTAGAAAATCGCATCTACCACTGTTATATTATACTTGCGATTATTATCTCTCACCGCATCCTCTTACAACAAAGACATTTATCCTGTTCGCCGTTCGATGGATTTTTGTCGTTTTGCGCGATACCGTCGTCGGCGCTCTCGCCCGCGATGTATAACAATCCGACATTTTCTGGGTCATTAACCCGCGTATCGATCGCGTTGGTATCTCGTCTCGGTGGAAACGCCACGCGAACCGGCCATTCATCGACCTTTTACCAAAGCCGTTTTTACCGAGCCAAGGTGTACAACACAAAGAGACCGCGCGGAGGAAAACACGAGACCTCCGTTCGCTCCCCTAAGCCCTAAAAATTACATAAAACTCACAATATATAAAATTTTGAAAAGTTGAAGAAATTACATACGAAAAGAAAAATTACAAATTTATTCTCGCGCATTAAATGTTGATTAACTTTTAAAAAATATTTCGCACTTGCATCTAACGTTTGGGTTATTCTTACCAGACGTATTGTTTCTATCTCGAGAAAAATTAAATTCAAAAATACTGTTGCTTTAAAATTGTTTTCCACAGTAGAATATTAGGTGCCAAAATTATTGTGCATACATTATACATTGTACATACACGTCCGTAAAAATCATCCGGATGACAGATAGATGATTGTTTGACAAATTATGGAATGATCAAGAAGAATCTCAGATATTGATAAGACTTGATTAAATTAATTGATGCATATCTGCTTGTACGTCCGTACGATATTATTACATATGTGTACAATATTCACACAACTATGAGCGACACATATTAACGAGCGGGTTACGGCTACGATGAACGTAGTATATGAGCGTGTACGCCACTGATCGAATAGGTCGA